AAGACAGCTTAACTCTTAATCATTGTTGTGATTTGCTTTCAAGCAATGTGAATAATCAGTAAATTGATGTTGCTGTTTTTGTTTTGGTTTTTTTGGGTTTTTTGGTTTTCCGTTCTCGGGGCCTTCTATTCGGTACTCTTTGTAGTTGCACTTCTGTACTGTTGAGCTATCCGAATTCAAATAAACATTAAAAAAAAGAATGGGGTTGCAATTTTGTTGTTTTTGCCATGTGATTGTGCAATCAAGAGTGAAACCAGGACTGCCTGCTGCTCGTCGTTGCTAGTATTGAAGGAGAAAAAAAATCGTCACCATGGTATTCGCGCGGCTTGGTACAACTTGTACAAATTTACGGGCAACTCTTGAACCTTTGTACAACTTTGCTGTAGAAGAGGTCAAAATCGTACACAAAATCGTTTGTCGCATCGCAAAAGTTGAGCCGAGCTCAACTTCTGCGATGGGCCATTTGCGGCAGTTGCATGGGATTCCCGGTTTCGCGGCCGTCGCATCGTGTGTCACATCACAGAAATGCTTCTGTCAATCCCGCTTTATGTTCAATTAGACGGATAACCGATATAATCGTTTCAGCCCTAATATTAATATATACATGTACACACAAACATGCACATACCCCCCCATAAACCAACACACACACACATGTACACGCATACACCCCGTGTACCATGTATACGCCCCTCACAAGAGAAGCACGAAAATCTGCGAAATGTACTGGAGGTGCACCCGAAGATTTTCACTTAAAAGCAACGACAGCGGACAAGATCTGAATGATACTGATCAAGACTAGCAATTAATAACTGCCGAATCAACACAACTAAGTGAAGCTATGAGAATCGAACACCAATGCACAGGTGGTAAACACAACACAGAGTACAGCAGCATAGAACGGCGAAGAGAGTTGACTATACTTGCTGTATGCACACACGCACCCGCGCACGCACCCCCCCCCCCCCACACACACACACAAACACACATACCCCAGGACATATATTTACATCACTTTAGTATGTAGGGAGGGCCATTGCATGGACTCAAGAGTGGATGGTGTGCCATGGTCTGCTTTACTGGCAGATGGTGGAATCAGTAAGGTCTGGTCTGGATGTCTGCTGCCCCGACCCATCAGACCAGGCTCGACCGCATTCAGCGGAAGGCAATGGCCATCATAGGACCAGATGTGTTCCTCCAGAGTCTGGCTGCACGACGCACTCTCTCTCTCTCTCTCTCTGGGCTGTGCTACATTTACAAGCTTCAGTGCATCGAAAGCCCACAACAGCTGACCAACATTGTCCCATCAGCTGCACCCACTGTGGCTCGTCCGCGAACCCGACACACACATGCGGTGACCCATCCTCACGAGCTCCTCAATACTCTACCACCAGCTGCACCGGAGTACATCAGGCGGTCCTTCCCGTTTGCCCACATCAGTTTGTGGAATCAACTGCCACCCTCTCTGTTCCAGCCACCAATGTCCCTGCAACGGCTGCACTGCTTCAGGGCAGCTGCATGGAAGCACTTGCTACACACTGACTGGCTGTGGGCTACAGACCACCTCTGAAAGCCACTGCTGCACAAACCTGCGACGAAGTTGCAAGCCACTCTGGTCTAGATTCACCCTGCCGTATCACTCGAGAGCTACCCACACATCTCTCAATCTCCCCCCTTTTCCGCTATTATTATTATTATTATTCCCTTCTTGTGTTGTCTTGTTTTTTATTTCATTTTTTGTCTTAAGTCACTTTCTTATGTTGGCTCATTATACACTTATGATTAATTTTGATGCATACATGGCACTGTGACGCCGAGTCTCATGGTCGGCAGAGTCAATGTATTTCATCAGCACAGCTATTTTAAGAGGTGGCAGACTACCCAAAAATTCGCTGAAAAATCGAATTTGTAAATTCATATTGAGTGCTACGTCACTTGAAAGAGCATGAATAGCTGCAATTTCTCTGAAAGTTGTGTCCCTATCTGACCAGCCGTTCAAGAGTTATGGCCGAAAATGTGCCCTTGCAAGGAAAGATATTTTTGTTGCATGCTGTCATTTGTTGGCAGCACTGTATTTGAATGTGAGCAGACCGTGCGCAACTTGTCGTATTATGGAAAGACGCAAAAGTGTGCAGAATTTTGCCCCAAGTCCAAAAAAGTCCAAAACATCACGTTAAAAAACCACGTATTGGGCGGCACGACTTTTGCCAGCACCCTCGTGACGTTGCAGATATGTGGCTTGATTATTGTAGTTGACGTTGATTTAGTGACTTTGGCAAGTTTGAGTCGTGTCAAGAAGTCAGGTAGGATTCAGTACTAGGCAGTAGTGAAACGTGAGTGGCAGTCTTTGCCGGTTTCTGAGAGCATCCTGGATTTGGTGTGCAGCGCTGTGGAAATGGCTTGCTGTGGAGGTCCCAGCACTGGATGTTGTATCAAAGGTACGACCTCGTAGCACGTGCTAAACCTAAAAAATTCAAAAATTGACTTGGGTCTGTGGGAGTCCGTGAGAGAACGCCCACTCGTTCCGTTGTGACAGATTCCAGGGCCACGTTGAGGGGCCCTACCCCACCACCCATGGCTGCTTCTGGACTTGTTTTAGGTTTGGGTCCCGCGCACGGACAGAATGGGCACGAAAATGTGAAAAAAATGTAAATGCATTTGTTTGGCTCCTGGGTGGCTCGCACACCGTGGCACTATGCCGGAAATTTGAGTTTTTCCGGCCTGGAAAGCCTGTCAGCGAGGCGCATGAACTTGTAAATCATGTCCTGAGGGCCAGCATAGTGGCAGGAGTGTGTGGTCAAAATATCACTCAAATCCACTGAGAAACACCAAAGTTACGGTCAATTGAATGCCATATGAAATTTATGGGTAGGCTGCCCCCTTCAGGTGGCAGACTACCCAAAAATTCGCTGAAAAATCCAATTTGTAAATTCATATTGAGTGCTACGTCAGTTGAAAGAGCATGAATAGCCGCAAATTCTCTGAAAATTGTGTCCCGATCTGACCAGCCGTTCTAAAGTTATGGCCGAAAATGTGCCCTTGCAAGGAAAGATATTTTTGTTGCATGCTGTCATTTGTTGGCAGCACTGTATTTGAATGTGAGCAGACCGTGCGCAACTTGTCGTATCATGGAAAGACGCGAAAGTGTGCAGAATGTTGCCCCAAGTCCAAAAAAGTCCATAAAATCACGTTAAAAAACCACGTATTGGGCTGGACGACTTTTGCCAGCACCCTCGTGACGTTGCAGATATGTGGCTTGATTATTGTAGTTGACGTTGATTTAGTGACTTTGGCAAGTTTGAGTCGTGTCAAGATGTCAGGTAGGAGGTAGGATTCAGTACTAGGCAGTAGTGAAACGTGAGTGGCAGTCTTTGCCGGTTTCTGAGGGCATCCTGGATTTGGTGTGCAGCGCTGTGGAAATGGCTTGCTGTGGAGGTCCCAGCACTGGATGTTGTATCAAAGGTACGACCTCGTAGCACGTGCTAAACCTAAAAAATTCAAAAATTGACATGGGTCTGTGGGAGTCCGTGAGAGAACGCCCACTCGTTCCGTTGTGACAGATTCCAGGGCCACGTTGAGGGGCCCTACCCCACCACCCATGGCTGCTTCTGGACTTGTTTTAGGTTTGGGTCCCGCACACGGACAGAATGGGCACGAAAATGTGAAAAAAATGTAAATGCATTTGTTTGGCTCCTGGGTGGCTCGCACACCGTGGCACTATGCCGGAAATTTGAGGTTTTCCGGCCTGGAAAGCCTGTCAGCGAGGCGCAAGAACTTGTAAATCATGTCCTGAGGGCCAGCATAGTGGCAGGAGTGTGTGGTCAAATATCCACTCAAATCCACTGAGAAACACCAAAGTTACTGTCAATTGAATGCCGTATGAAATTTATGGGTAGGCTGCCCCCTTAAAGGGGAAGTTAAGGCTAAAATCAAAATTTCACCAGTTGTAGTCTTCGGGGTGCTGAGTCAAATGGTCTTCGTCCGAGAAAGCTGAGACGCTCCCTTCCTACTTGAATCCCAATCGAACTCGCGCACTTCCACCGAAACTGGGTGACTGCACCCTACTAGAATGGGATTTGTATGCAAAATGTCACTAAAAGTAAAAGCGCCATTCTTCGTTCTTATAAAAGCACGGATGACCGCGATTGACCTATATGTTGTAGTGTTTTGGACGCTCAGTCGACTGGTTTTGGTCCGAAAAGGCTGAGATGCAGCGTTCCTCCATTATTCCCAATCGTACATGGTTGAACAAGCGGTCACGTGCTCCTGGGAGCCCAAATCACCTGGTCAATACTCCAGCAGGCGACAACTTTCAAACCAAGGTTCAACTCGAGTTCAACTCGAGTGACAGGACTGCACCCAAAAAAGGTCAAACTGGCTAGTAAGTTGTACCCTGCAGGCACGGTGACCAGGTGACTGGTGTACGCAGGAGCACGTGACCGCTTGTTCAACCATGTTCGATTGGGAATAAAGGAGGAACGCTCCATCAAAGCCTTTTCGGACCAAAACCAGTCGACTCAGCGTCCAAAAAACTAAACATATTGGCCAATTGTGATCATCCGTGCTTTCATAAGAACGAAATGGCGCTTTTAGTGATATTTTGCATACAAATCCCCATCTAGTAGGGGGCAGTCACCCAGTTTCGGTGGAAGTGCGCGAGTTCGATTGGGATTAAAGTGGGAAGGGAGTGTCTCAGCTTCCTCGGACCACGACTATTCGACTCAGCACCCCGAAGACTACAACTGGTGAAATTTTGACATCCCCTTTAACTGGCATTGTGGATAGCGCCTACCCAGTCCAATGTCCTTTTTGTCTTTCAACATGATTTGTAGGTTTGTGTTCTCTTTAAAAAGAAAAAGAAAGGAAAAGGTTTTAATGTTCTGTTGCTCTGGCCTGGCGCGAATGACTAGATGCTACTTGTTGCGATCAAATATATCGCTCAGACCGTTTTCCGGAAAACATTCTTAAGGAGAATCAAGGATAGAGATTGCCCGACTTACATGTACATCGTTCTTTACAGAGATCGTGTCGGGTTGGAGATCTAGTAGTAGATACTTGACTACTTCCAGATGTCCATTCCCGGCAGCGCAATGTACAGGAAGGTCACCGTTCTGTGTACAGGTAACACACATGACCAGACATTCCCATGCGTTATCCATCAGAAAAGTACTTATATTGGGTATAATGTACAATCCACTACGAAGCGAGGCAGTGTCACGCACAACATTGTGATAAGTCAATTAACAAACTGGTTAAAAGCTAGTGATGGAAACCCCCAATACATGCTTTTGTGCTGGGCACGAGATTGGTTAGTTTGCATACTTTTTGAGCCAAAGTAATGTTGCAATATTCCTCTTGTGGTTTGAGGGGCATATGATGGGTGCAAGTATACAATACTGAGAACACTTTTGAATCAAATTAGAGGCCACATGCCACGTACTGCTCTTTTCTCTCCGAAACTCACAACTTGCAAGCCAGATATGAAAGAAAGAAAAAATCATCAGTCACACCACCGGGACTCTTTCATATCTGGCTTGCAAGTGTTGAGTTTCGGAGAGAAAAGAGCAGTACGTGGCATGTGGCCTCTCATTTCCTAAAAACTTTGAAATTCTCCGTGAAGTCCAAATTTGAAATTACTTTTGAATCATTAAATTGTATGGACATCTCTGCACACACCAAAACATTCCTGTTGACGGGTGTTGAATTGATGATGAGTGTGTCCATGAGGTCACATCAGAAATGATTGAGACCAATGTTTATGTGAGCCGGATGCATAATGGAGGTGCTTTGTGCAGCCATTAGTGCCGGGCAGCAGGGTCACCAATATTCACAGGTACTTTTGCAGCAAATAATCGGTTTGGTAGCTGTTTCAGCCTGATACTTCCCAGCAATTGACATAATTATATCAAGCACAGTAGTCCTCATTGGCAAGAAGAGTGTTGTAGGAGTAACAGACTACAGCAAGGAGAGTCAATGATAAAGATTGCTTTAACTTACCCTGCCCTTCACAAAGATCATGTCGGGTTGGAGATCTAGTAGAAACTTGACCAGTGTTATTTGCCCACTGCATGCAACTTTGTGAACACGAAGGTGACCATCCTGTTTACAGGTAACACACATGACCAGACATTACTATGCATTTACCATCAGGTAATATCTACATGTATATCGAGTGTAGATGTAATGCACATCTCACTATCAAGTGAGTTGTTCTCATCTACACACAGTACTCTTAACAAAAACAGATCCACTGGGCAGTGGGGTCACAGTGTTCGTTGGCCGAGCCACGCAACCATACTGACCTGTAGCAGCGATGACAGCATACCTGCTCACTGCCCGCCATCATCCATCCACTGGGCCACTGTTTGTGCTCTCAGATGAACAGAAAGTTACTCGTGCGGTATTTACCACCCATGTACGTTCATTGCTGGCAGCATCTGCCATGCCAAACCTGCACCTGTATTCCGGGCACTCATTCATCTTTGGTGCTTATACGATTGCCGGAATGGCGGGTGTGCCCTACTCTCTGATGCGCGCCGCTGGACGCTGGAAGAGTGATGTATGTTTGCGGTACATGCATATGCCAGCATCCCTTAAGTACAGTGTGTCATCACAGCTTGCAGGGTTAGCCATTTGGTCTGAATTTTGGCCTAGCAATTCTGAATATTTACGTGGTGTGCTGGATTCGCGGATGTTCGCTCACAACTGCTCATACCTGCTCTCAACTGCTCACAACTCACAACTGAGTCTCTGTACGATTGTCTCAATGAATGAGTGCATTGCACGACTGACAATGTTGGGTTGAGTCCCAGTAGAATGGTCTTACCGGATGTACGTATTGTTTACCGGGAGTTATACGTCGAGTTCCAGTATCAATGTGTCTCATTAGAGGAGTGCCTTGCATACGGTATGGGGTCAGCTGTGTCCTAGTCAAAATCTCTTACTGGAGAAGTTCATTCCAGTAAGTCTTATTCGCTCATCAGAATGTGTACTATACGATGTCAGACGTGTCCCAGTATGACAGTCTCTATGGATGGGTGCGCTGGGTACTGTGTAATGTCCGCCACCTCCCTATATCAATGTCTTACTGACTCCTCCTCTATTTGTAAATGGACGGCGTTCCTATTGCCTTTGGACATTCTGCTAAGCATCTCGGCGTACAGCTCAGCGATGGTTTGAAGTTCCATGACCACTTCCACACCATCTTCAGGAAGTTTCAGCAACGAGTCAACCTGTTATGTTTCATGTGCCGACATTTACCATCGTCTCATATTCTCCTCCTGTATAAGTCTTATGTGCGTCCGGCAATTGAATATGCCATTCCTGTCTGGTCATTTAGGCTCACATTTGCTCAGTTAGAGTCCCTTGATGTACTTCAAGCTAAGGTTTGCCGGCGACTCCTGAAGTCTGCGAAAATACCCTTTGATATCTATGAATCAAAATCCAATTTGAATAGATTGGGTCACTTAGAATCTCTGCAATTTCGCCGTGTCTTTATTTCTTTTGTTGTTTTATTTAAGTACATCAATTTCCACCCAGAATATAGTAGAAGTAGTAGTAGTAGTAGTAGTAGTAGTAGTAGTAGTAGTAGTAGTAGTAGTAGTAGTAGTAGTAGTAGTAGTAGTAGTAGTAGTAGTAGTAGTAGTAGTAGTAGTAGTAGTAGTAGTAGTAGTAGTAGTAGTAGTAGTAGTAGTAGTAGTAGTAGTAGTAGTAGTAGAATTTATTACTTTGTCCGACTTATTAAAATGTGCGCTTCGCTTCAAAACTCAAGAATATGTACAAAGGAACACCTGTACTAAAAAATCAACCAAGAGACGGTAGATAGATAGCTACTGTATCTTTTCTTGGCCTGAACTTCTAGTTATCATCGCGGGTGGTGTCTCAGGGCGCATCTGCAAGTGCGCCAGCCTGCAAAACGTCCACAGTTTTTTCATCTCCTCCAAGCTACACTGCGCTTCCTTGATTTTTCACTCCATAGGCACGAATTAGACGATCGACTTCGCCTCCTCCTCGTGCAGTACGACTGCCAGAATGGTGGCTATAGCCTAGGTGTTTTCGCCTGACGCTCCCACAACATCTTCAAAAGTGGCGAACAAGTAAACCACCACGCATAAAAAATCACTTCTCATCACCGTGTTACACGCAGATCAGACTCAGTACGCGCACTGCCAGCGCGCGTACTGAGTCTGATCTGCGTCGACCTGACTGTCATGCATGCAGTCAGACCATGCGTCCTCTTCCCTGCCTGTTTCACGAATCCACTGGTCCCGGAGACTGGCGATCTTGTGACGCATCGCGATCGCGGCTCCGAGGACTCCGCACCATTCGCGCACCGTATCCGCAGGATAATTTACCCTTTCTGCGCTTCAGTTTTCCAGCCAGGTTGTCACCTGCAAGTCGACCACAAGGGCGGTTATTTATTCCGATCAACTTCTCGACAATCTCTTCTCTGGTCTTGATTCATCGGCTGCCACATCGTGAACGACTGCGAGAGAGATCAGCGAACTGGACGGAGCGATGCTGGTGCTTTCTGCACGAGTTTCTGGATGTCGCATTTGCTGAAATTCTGCCAAGAAAACAGCGACTGCAGCGATTTCAATCCGCCAGAAGGCACTCGAGAGCGATCGCCCAGGAGTTTCTGGTACACCGTGACAATTTCCTATCGCAGTTGGGTGTTGATTTCAGCACCAGGCCTTCTCTGTGTTGCGCGAGAAGAAACAGGAGTCCTCTTACGACAAAATTTGGACGCAAATTGCTGGAGTCACCTAGGATCCTGAGACGCTGCCGCCTTTGGAGTTAGAGCCATTTCTTTTTCAACATCACAAATCGACAACTGAAGGATAGAGTTAGGTAGCTGGAGAGTTTATTCCGTCCTGAGATTATTTGAATTTGTTTGGTTGACGTTCGAAGCGAAGCGCACATTTTGATAAGTCGGACGAAGTATTTTACTAGGGAACTCCCAACAGGCGTTGCCTTTTTACTGGGAACCCTAGGAATATGTCTCTCGCTTTGCGATAACCATAATAATCACGTAGTGCACGTAGGCCCATAAAGCTCAATTTTAACTCACGTCGTATTTTTTCATCCCTTTTCCTACAGAAAACTGGTTCTCTTTGGAATTGTCTTCCACTCTGATTGACAACTTTAGATTCCCTATCCGAATTTAAGCGTCATATACATATTCACAGTAGAGAGGTGTTGCATTCCGAATTTCGGAATTATTTTCGGAATGTGGCGGCAACAGTCGAAAAAGTAGTCGAACTTTCGGAAGTGTGGTGGCGAAAGTGCATGGTTTTCCGAAAATGGATTTTCGGCTCTTTTATGTTTGGGAGTGCATATTTTAATACAAAAAGTGTATTTTTTATGTTTGTATTTTTGCTTTCTGCTGCTATCGATTATTCGAAATTTGTCCACGTATGTAGTTTTGATTTTTCCTGGTTTTTGCTGCTCTCGCTGATCACGCCATGTTGACTAATCTTCTCACACTCCATCACACTCTATCTTCCTTTGCCATGGTGACTACTGACAGTACAAGACAGTAGCTCGCCAACCTCGTCTTCAGCTCAGTGTTGGATCACTTGGTCCACCATCAGTCCGTCCTCGTCTTCGAACCGCAGCTTGACCTGCGCACATGGATTTGATCCTGCTCAATCCCTTCAACGCTCTCCATTTTGTTTTGCATGGCAACCCTTGGAAACGAATTCGAATCAGATTTTCGGAATGCAAAACACTGAAAATGCCGTTTTTCGGCACGCGTTTTATTCGGAAAAGCACAGTCGGAAATCATTCCAAAATTCGGAATGCAAAACCTCTCTATTGCTAAGTATCAGTTCGACTCCACTGGTACACCTTTGATGGGCAATCATTGATTTACATGCTTATTCTTTTCTTTTCTGTCTTTCTTTCTTTCCTTGTCTTTCTTATTATTTCTTTTTTATTTCCAACATTTCACACTCACTTTGCGCACTTTCTCTCGCATCTTTAACTATGCTACTAGTACATACACAAATAGGAGATCCCCCAGATAGCCGTTAGCCTTTCGGTAATCCTGAAACGAGAGAGCTTGGAAGCTCAGGGCCCTACGCTATGCTTTGTGGCTTAGCTCATCGTGCATGTTGTGGGAACTGATGGAAACGTTTCCTGGGACGGCGCTGACTCTGCCGATCACGGGCGTTCAGGAGTCGACGGGATCTCTCTCCCGACGTTTCCTGTGACCGGCGCTGACTCGCCCGTTCACGCCTATTTTGGAGACGACGGGATCTCTCTTCCAAAGTATGTTTTTGCTGACGCATCTTATCACCTATTCGGCAACTAACGTCCATTCTTTCATTTCCTCCTCGTGTCCCTATTTCTTTCCAGAAAGTCTCCCTCTACATCAGGGAGTCGTACTGTATTGACAGCTACCCTAACGGGTCACGCCGCGCTCCACCCAAGCATGGGTATGATAAGGGACAGTGGCAACAGAAACAAAAAATAGCAAGCAGAGAGAGATAGCAAGAGAAAGACAGCGATAGTAGTACATCTGGTGTGCGACATATAGAAAAGATAGATGATAAGAGACACGCACAAAAAAAGGAAACAATAATTATTTTTGCAGTTCCGAAACAATCAACCAGGTGATGAAGTGTGGGCACCCGAAGTCCCCCCCCCCCTCCACTGGAAGAACATCCCACGCAGGGATATCAGCGATAGGCCAAGCGTTGAAAAACAGCCATGAGGACACATCGTCTAGAAGTCCACCGCGCTCGAACTGAAATTGCAGGTTCAAACAATTTCCCACGCGTCGCCAGGCAGCGTAACCGTCTTCTTCCTGCATCACCATCCATCTCCAGCAACCGTCTTCACTCACAGCTCATGCCTCTGCCACCACTGTACTCCTCCGAGCTTCGCAGTTTGAAACCATTCGGGGGTCAGCTACACCACCGCGAAAGGAGAGACGAGGACGACAACAGTCGTGACTGAAAAGACACAGCCTTGGCGACCGCGTCGCGGAACCCTCGCCACAGCAAATTCAGAAACACGCCAGGGCGACTCTGGTGGACCCAGAGCCACTCCCTTGGCAAGACTAGTAAGAGGAACGACTGAAAACTCAGATAAAA